GCAGAGGTTGTCTGGGCATCTGTCAAATATGCTTTAGCTGAGATTCCTGCACAGCATGGGGTTGAAATAGATGACCCTTTGGGGTCCCTTCCGATTCTATAATTCTATGATTCTTTGATGAACAGCAGGGATAAAGACTGGGTCAACCTCTGTCCTAGAGCCACTTCACTTCAACAACCTGGAAACCAGTGGCTGTGTTATAAAATAGGGGCTATTTGAGTTCTAGATGGTACCTTATTCAGTGGTATTGCTACTGCATTTTGGACCAGTTGATACTTCCCAGTCATCTTCGAGGGCAGAGCCACATCGAGTGCATTGCAATAATCTAATCTGGAAGTTACCAGAGTGGCCGAATACAGAGGTTAAGTCATCTTGTCTGAAAGGGGCAACACTTGGTGATCCAAAGGGAGCTTGAAATGGTCATCACTGAGGACACCTGAGCTTCCAGTGACAATGCTGGATCTATGTTATTGACAAGATGCTCTGTAATGGTGCAGGATTTGGTGATCTCCATGTTTTATCTCTCACAGCGCTCTAGCACCACTGTCTGATATGCTTACTTGTTTGCTCATTTGCCAAGAAATATGAGTGGTGTCAGGTGCTGAGAGAGGCATCAAGGCCTACTTGGAGTCCAGTTCGACTAGAATGTCTATCTGATTACCTTCAGAGGTGGCCTTTGGCTAAATGGCCATTTAATAATTCTACTCAGCATATATGCATTTTTTAAAAGTGTCAAATGCACTTTATGCCCATTACGTGCTGCGGTGAGGAAGCAGGAAAAGCATTGCCCTCACATTCAATCACCGTGCTTAGTCCCCAGGGAAAACAAGATGGGAGCTCCAGAAAAACATGTCATCTGCTTTCTTTGCTGCCAATGTGAGATTTACAGAAATGTGGTTCACATTTGCAGCTGGGTTGGCCAAGTCAATTAACCTCTCTCTCTCTCTCTCTCTCTCTCTCTCTCTCTCTCTCTCTCTCTCTCCACCCACCCCCTCTTTACAATTGGCGAAAGAGTGGTTGCTTCAAGAGGTCACCAAAGTTGCTTCCATCCTAAATTTCCCTCCTGAGATGATTCTTGCTAAGGTCTGCAATTGTTATGCTAGGATCATGAATTCCCAGTGGGTCAATAATCACTATGGGACACCCCACATTCCTTTGGATATTTATAGCATTGGATTACTGTCACAGTGCTGTAAGTATGAGATCATTGTAATATCATGAGGTCCACAGGGAAGGCTTGTTATTAGCAATCTTTCTTGCTAACCCTGAGACTCATTTCTTAACGTTGCTTATTTTCTCTCCCCTGTCTGCTCCAACTGACCTCAAGGGTTTACTTCTACTTCCTAGCTTTTGCATCCTTCTAGATGGTTATCAGGTCTCAACACTTCTATATGGTTCTTTTAATTCTTTTTACATAAATCAGTCCTGGTTCCTCCTCACTGCCCCTCACCCCCACGGCTGCACAATATGCATGTTTCTCAAACACTGCCAACCCAGAATATGAAATATGCATCTACCACAGAAAAAAACAAAAACCCACTTGCATCTGATTTCAAGGAAGAAATATCTGAGATTGCAAGGCTATGATCCATCCGACAAAATCCCCAGGAGTTCTTAGATTCATGCTTTGCATACCCCTGCTGCAAAATTCCTTGCAAAAAGACCCATCTGGAGTGAAGCAAAAGAAGGTATCAGAATACAAAATAAGTTACCTAATAATTCATGTTGTTTCTGAACTTTGCCCTGCCGGATCGAGGCATTTCCGTCTTTTACACTTTGTTCAATGTGGCTTTAATCTGCTTAGACAAGGGAAAGAATTTCTCAATAGCTCTTTGCATGCAACCTTAACAAGGGCAGGCCCAGGAAAGTTTCACCTGCTCAGTGCTTTGCAGCTCTTCCCTGGTTTGTGAGTCATCACCACTGGATACTGCCAGGGCCCACACCTAAATAGGGGACCCATATCAGTCCCTACAATCTCCTCCTGCTGTTCCTCTTAACCATGATTTTCTTTTACCTGCCAGGACCAACTCTACTATTAGGCCAAGGATTGGGCACCTGCAGTCCTTAAGTTATACTTGGACTCTAACTCCCATCAGCCCCAATGGCATGGTCAGTTGGTGGGAGTTGTAGTTCAGCAAAATCTGGAGGGCGGCAAGTTCGCATTCTCTGCATGAGACAGAGTGAGGCAGCCACCTCAGTCAGAAGATCCTAGGATCCAGTAATCAGTGAGGTCCTGTGTGTGTGTGTGTGTGTGTGTGTGTGTGGGGTGACTCCCTGCTTGTGGGATGCTTTCCCCAGGGAGGCTCATTTGGTGCCTTCACTATGTATTTTTAGGTGCCAGGCAAACACATTGGTCTTATCCCAGGCCTTTGGCTAATTAAACAATAAATGGCCTTTTAAACTGGGGTGCATTGCTTTTGTTTGTTACTATGCATTTTGTGTTTTTATACTGTAAACTGCCATGTGATCCTCAGATGAAGGGCAGTATAGAAATTTAATAAATAAGAATAATAATGGCAGGATGTTGAGAAGCTGAAAAGTGTGCAGGGCAACCAAGATGATCGTGATGATCAAGCATCTGGGAACCAAGTCTTATGAGGAACAGTTAAAGGAAATGTGTGTGTTTAGCCTGGGAAAGAGAAGACTGAGAGGAAATATAATAGCCATCTTCAAATATCTCAAGAGCTGTCACATGGAGGAGGGAACAAGCTTGTTTTCTCCTGCTCCGGAGGGCAGGATTCTAAACAATGGCTTCAAGTTACAAGAAAGGAGATTCCGACTAAACATCAGGGGGGAAATTCTGACTGTAAGAGCTGTTTCACAGCGGAACTGACTTCCTTGTGAGGTGGTGGACTCCTCCCTTTGAGCTTTTTAAGCAGAAGCTAGATGACCATCTGTCATGGATGCTTTAGCTGATATTCCTGTATTGCAGGGGGTTGGACTAGATGACCCTTGGGTCCCTTCCAATTCAAATTCTATGATTCTATGAAAAAGTCACCTCAGTATGCATCATCCTCGCTTCATCTCCCTCTGCTGGTGCAGACTGAGTACAGAGGGAGAAGCAAGCAAATTGGCAGTGTCAATGCAAAGAGGTGAGGAAGATGGAGGAGCCCTTCTGAGGCTACCTTGCCAAAAGCCCTACAAAACTCAGTACTGGACCTATACTTGGCCTCTTCAAGCTTCTAGGACAAATGCATTGGGCTTAAAAAGAATGAGGGTACAAACAGAAATTGACCCCCAAATGTCCATCCATATATTGGCTCATTTTTGAATATTCCCACATGTGATTTATAGAAGGGATCCAGGAGGAAGTCTACTGGTCTTGGGTGTCACCTGAACCTTTCTGGGTTGGTATTTCCAAATAGCCATCTTTTAATCAGGCGTCTTCACATAATATATTATGAACCTTTGGGATTTACTGCCACAAGATTGACAAGCAGGAGCATGCCCACAGGGCTGCCTTCAGATGTTTTCTAAAAGTCAGATAGTTGTTTATGTCCTTGACATCTAATGGGAGGGTGTTCCACAGGGTGGGTGCCACTACCGAGAAGGCCCTCTGCCTGGTTCCCTGTAACCTCACTTCTCGCAATGAGGGAACCGCCAGAAGGCCCTCGGAGCTAGATCTCAGTGTCCACGCTGAATGATGGGGGTGGAGATGCTCCTTCAGGCATACAGGGCCAAAACCATTCAGGGCTTTAAAAGTTAGCACTAACACTTTGAACTGTGCTCAGAAATGTACTGGAGCCAAAGTAGATCCTTTAAGGCCAGTGTTATACGGTCCCAGCAGCCACTCCCTACTGTTGGGCTACCTGCCTTCTCCCCTGCCAGTCCCTGTGTGTACCAACCACCACCGATAGAGAGTTGTGTGTGGGTCTGAGTACAGTATTTGCATTTCACTTGTGCACATTCAGCTTTATGAGTATGGCTAAATTTAAAAAAAAAAATAAATTGGGGTGGAAAGGGAGCAGGGTTCCAGCAAAAATTATTTTTGCAATCCCATTTGCCATTGCACCCATTTTGGCTTTGGGCATGATCCCCGGAATGCAACCCCCACGTAAATTGCGGGCTTACTGCATATGTATAAACCGTCTGTGACTTTCAGGTTGCTAGAATATAGACCTGTTGCCCCACCCACTTTGGGTTCTGGCCCCCCACACCTCCAGCATGTGGTCCCCAGAAGGTTGCCTATGAGTAAATGGGTCTCTCAGGCTTAAAAAGTTTCCCCATTCCTGCTGTAAAGGAACAGAATGAGGGAAATTCTCCCACACTGAGTTACATTCTAGTGTACAAGAAAAACCTACAGCTTTGCTTATTTTAAGAGCAGTTACTTTTTTAAGACTCATTTTGCCCACATATTGACTATAAACAAAACAAGAGGGATCCCTCACATGATATTGGATGGGCAACCCCATCATGATGTAATTATTTTTATCAACATGTGGCAAATAATTTCTCCGGTCTCATTTTTCTTTTTCTTTTAAAAAAAAAACCAGTAGGTTTTTTTAAAGCAATTAAAAGCCTCAAGCTTTTTACAGACTGAGCAAAATGAGTTCCAGCCTTCAGGACAGAAAAAGCAAATATATTTTTAACAAGCAAGTGATTGGGTCATTGCTAAATATTTCCAAGAAAGAGAAACAACAAAGACACTTGTATCCAGGAGGTCTTACACATCTGAGGGAAAAAAAGGGGAAAGGAAAAAAAGAAAACCATCATGGAAAAATAATACCGGAGGATTACCGTATAACTGAAATATTATCTGATTTTTTAAAAATCAGGTTGGTGCAGCGGCAGCAACAAAACATTGGAGGAATTTTTAATTCATTAGTTCAAGTTTCACACACACAAGCATTAGTCTTTACATATGTAGTAAAGTTAGTTTTCAGGCTTCAAGCACACTTGGGATTCAGACACTGCTGTATTTCAATCTAGCTTAATACTGTCTGCACTGACTGGCAGCAGCTGCCCAGAGTTTTAGCTGGGAAATCTTTCCCAACTTTACCTGGATATGCCGAGGATTGAATCTGGGACCTTCTGCATGCAAAGCAGTTGCTTCACCACTGAGCTACAGCCCTCCACCTTTCTGCATAAACACGCACACTTCTCCAGTGCCTTAAATGTCTAAAGAGAGAAACATTTATTTATTTGTTTTGCAGAAGCTGGGATGTGAGTCATGAATTTGAGGTTTTCCTTGACACTTCTGTGTGTATGTAATTAAGAACATGTATAAAGAGACAAGACTATGAGTGTGGTGAAATGACAAACGCAGTAGGATAAAAGAAGAGCATTTTCCAGGTTAACAGAGTTGCAAATGGATTTTTTTTCCTCCCACCTGGAAGTAATTAACACAGAAATGAGCGCTAAAGTTCCACTAGATCCTGCTAGATTTCCAGAAATGGCTTGTACTACTGTACTGTGTGAAATGTCACGTAAAATGCAGAAATTATCAGGTAAGGGGAGAATAATATCCGTACCTGATAATGTCCTGATTCAGCCTAGCTGAGCTGGGGAAAATCTGCCCCATGCCACCAGAAGTCTTTCCAAGGGTGAAACAGGAAGTAGGAAAAACCAAACAAACTTAGTAGCCCTCCTCTGCATTCATGAAGCTTGTTATTTCACACTTGGCCATCTTTATGTTGAATATTGCTCTGTAGCTTCAGGACAGGGTGGGATGAAGAAATAAGAGAACTACACTCTCTTAAGATTACTTAATGGATTAGCATGAACTGAATGAACATTTCCAATGTGGAAAGAAGTTTTCAGGGAGATCATTTCCTCCCCCTCCAAAAAAATATATATATCCCCAAAGCATATACAGTATTTTCATGTTAATTCCCTAGGGTTCACAGCCTCAATCAGCTTTTAACAGCCACACACACACACACACATCATAGCTGCCAACTTTTCCCTTTTCTTGCAAGGAATCCTATTCGGAATAAGGGAATTTCCCTTAAGAAAGGGAAACGTTGACAGCTATCACACACACACACACACACACACACACACACACACACACTCTTACTGTTTTTCTTCTTAAAGGTTAAACAACAACATATATACAACAAAATTAATCCTGCCTCACACTCAGTACCTGAGCACAACAGCACTCCCCGAACTTGTGATTCCCAGTAACTGGTATCTACCTCTGACAGTGGAGGTAGAACATCAGAAAAGCCCCACGGGATCAGGTCAAAGGCCCATCTAGCTCAGCTTGCATGTTCTCACAGATTTATCTGAGAGGCCCACAAGCAGGACCTGAGTGCAACAGCCCTCCCTCCACCTGTGATTCCCAACAACTGTTAGGGCTGTGTCCTGTGTCCAGATTTCCCTAGGCATAGCCGAGATTCGGCCGTTGGAAACAATGTGTGAGCGGGAACAGCTGGAATGTCCGGGAAAATCTGGACATAAGGCAACCCATGTCATAAGTGTAGATTTTGGTGAGCTTCCTTAAAATTAGCTCTTTTGCGTCCGGATTTTCACCTTTTGAAATATGGCAACCCTAAACAACTGGCATTTAAAGGCATACAGCCATGGACAGTAGAGGTAGAAAATTGTGACTAGCTACAACCACTCCACCGTTATTACATTGAACTGTACAGTGGTACCTCTGGTTGCGAACGGGATCTGTTCCAGAGCCCTGTTCACAACATGAGCAGAATGCAACCTGCGTCGCGATTCGCCGCTTCTGCGCATGTGCGTGACATCATTTTGAGCATTTGTGCATGTGCGAGCGGCGAAACCCAGAACTAACCCTTTCCGGTACTTCCGGGTCACCATGGGACGCAACCTGAAAATGCTCAACCTGAAGCAAACATAACATGAGGTATGACTGTTATCTCTCCTAGCAGAAAGGCAGAAAAGGGATGCACAGCACCAGCATAAGGCTGGGTCTTAAACAACAACCACAATGCATTTTGCTTGTGTCTCTTAAACCTTTGCCTTTATACGGGCTGTAAGCAATGGAGCACAGTTGCTGAGCCACTTCCTGTGAGTGCCCAGCCACACACATCCAAGCACAATGATGACTTTAATCCATTGGGATCCCAGCGACCCCAATCCCGCAATGAAAAAGCACTTGACCATCATCCAAACCCACAGTGATCCATTCAAGGAGGGCTCCCCCCGCCCCCACCCCGGCCTTATAAACCTCTGTGACAAGTGGGATGGTCTCTGTTTAAATATGTGGCCTTGTGGGATCCTGCTGACATCATTTCAGACATTCAGTAAACAAGGAGACATACACGGAGCCCTTTTCAGGGAGGTGTGTGGTGTGAGGGGAACGAGAAGTTACTCAGCACTGACTGTCTGCAAAGGTGAGAGAGGCTGGAAAAAAACAGCCACCACTTTATTGTTCTAACCTTTCTGTAAATATAGAGTTGATCACCCATTTTTCCAAGGGATTGAAAACAAGGCTTTCTGCCACTGACTTTGCAGGCAATGTTCAGACATATTTTAAGCATTATTTTACAGAACCAACTGTGTTGGGGTGGTGGGGTAGGGAGGAAAACCTATTTAAGATGTGTGCAAAACAAAAATGTACTCATGGCGGGGGGGGGGGGGGGGAGTGTAAGAGAAAGATTCCCTGCGGCATATTGGCCAAAGCATGCTTTATCTCTGTGCTGTTGTTTTTATTAAAAAATAAAATAAATATTCCTTCACAGCTCTTCCTGGGTGGCGGTTAGTTTTCAGACAGAAGCCATGCTAATTTCTCCATTGCTCAAGAGTTTGTTTGGGGAAATCTGACTGAAAGGAATATTTGTAGGCCTTGAGAGGTTGAGGAATATTATTAGATGCAATGTTTTTGAATGGAGAGACTTGGAAAGAGAGTTGAGGAAGATAGTCATTATTACTACAGCTACTGCTGTGTCTGAAGCAAGGGAGCCCAGGCCATCAATGGCCTGAAGGAACTGTTGGGTAACTCTTCGCCTACCTTATTTGGGGGTTGCTGAAGAACTTGTGCTCTTGGGGAGGGCAGAAGCAAGGGATCACAAGCCAAGAAGCACACATGTCATCAGCTCCCAGTTGTTGAGAGGGCTCTGACAGTTTTGTGTGATGCATTTGTTTTCGTATTTAAATTGTCAACCATCCTGGGTGCCTTGACAGGAAGGCAGACTATTGGCCTCACCATCATCAAAAGTAACAAACCTCTTCTCCCCCAACACCAGTCCACTATGATAGTATTTATTTATTTAAGGTTATACACAACCATTCCTCCAAGGATCAAGTATAAAAACACAAAAAATACATAACATAGTAACAAACAAAACAATACCTCCCAGTTTAAAAGGCCATAGCTTGCTTAACCAGCCAAAGGGCTGAAGAAGAATGCTTTTGTCTGGTGCCTAAAGATATGTAAGAAAAGTTTCAGGCAAGCCTCCTTTGGGGACAGCATTCCACAAGCTGGGAGCCACTGCAGAAGAGGCACATTATTGTGTTGCCACCCTTCAGGCCTCTGTATGGACATGAAGAAAGTCCTCAGATGGTGATTGTAGGGTCCAGGTCAGATTGTTAGGGGAGAGACAGGCCTTGAGGTATTGTGGTCTTGAGCCACTAAAGGCTTTATAGGTCAAAATCAGCACTTTGAGTTGGGCCAAGAAAGTGAATGGCAGCCAATGGAATAGGGCCAAGATTGTGCAGCTGGGTCACCAAGGGGTGCAGCTGGGTCACCAGCTGAAACTGATGGAACACACTTTTTGCGACTGAGGCCACCTGAGCCTTGAGCGACAGCAAAGGACCCAGGAGTACCCCCAAGCTATGTACCCTCTCCTTCAGAGGGAGTCTAACCCCATCAAGAGCAGTCAACCTCCCATCCATCTGGTCTAGGGAACCACCCACTAACAGTTCCTCAGCAGTAGTAGTAGTGATGACCACCACCACCATATTCCTTCCTTCCTTCCTTCCTTCCTTCCTTTCTTCCTTCCTTCCTTCCTTCCTTCCTTCCTTCCTTCCTTCCTTCCTTCCTTTCTTTCTTAAGCTGACTATAGTACTAGCAATATCATCACCATAACTATCACAGGAAAAGGGTGTTTTTCTGGCATTCCTACAGCCTCTAACTTCACTGTTGTTTCTTTCGCAGGCCCTTTTTGAGGCCTACTACATATCCAGACAGCAAATCTGTCAGCCTGCCATCCTCCTCTGGGTTCTCATTATATGTCGGAGGAATTCCTCGCAACATACATTCTTGCTTTCCCCTTCATTTCCTCGTGTGTGTTTCCAATACGTTGACTTAGGCTGACAGTTCAAAGGAAAAGAGGCCTACGAAGAAACAGCCCAAACCTCTCTTTGCCCAAACCCAAACATACTAAGGGTGGAAGCAGGGGTTATTTATCTGATTATTGTTTGTTTGTTTCTTACTGCCCTCTGCCTTCTTTTTCTCTTTTAAAGGCCTCTGGAAAAGGTTGACCCTCTCTCATAATGCTAGAATGAGGGAACATCCAAGGAAGCTAAATGTTATAAGATTTAGGACAGATGCAAGAAATAATCATTCACCAGCTCCCAATCCGCACATTTTTAATGTAATTTCACACGTGCACACACCAAAATTGAAGGCAATTTTCTTTCATATAATGCCTTTTGTTCTTGTTGTTTTCACTCATATATATTTACATTCACAATTCCTCCCAGTCTATATAGTTTGGGTTTTTTTTGTAAAAATTATTTGGCTGGAGAACCTCATGACAAAATTCTGAGGAGGAATTTTGGTGGCTCTATCACATATTGTTTCAGAAACTGCAAATCAGGCATTGTCACCTTGGAATAAAAACTAAACCAAATGTCTCCCCCATCCCTGCTCCTCGCTCACCTCTGCCCATAGCCCAATCCTGACACAAGCACAAGCTGGGAATTTTAGGTGGGCTGAGTATTCTTGCATTCATGTCCAGCTTCCAGGCTTCCCACAGGCATCTAGTTGACCACTATGAGAACAAGATGCTGGAGAAGAAGGGTTGTTGGCCTGCCTTATGTTTCCACAAAAGGGTTTTGACTCCCTGATTAGGTTCCTATGTATGGCTGGATTCTTACATGTTAATCAACTACCATGTGACATTCAAAGGCCTCCACAAAAAATGTTGTTCAATGTGCTTTACAATTAGTTATGGAAAAAAGTTTGAATTGGAAAAAGGAGCCTTAGAGAACTATATATCTTCAAAGACTCCTTATGCCTGGGATACTGCTGTAATGTTTAGGTTAGTGCTGGACCAAATGTTCTCAAAGGGCTGATCTTTCTTTGGAGGAAGGGAGAGTCAATAATGGAAGGGGGTATAGTTCCATGTCCATTTTTGAAGTTGGGTTTGAAATTAAGATAGGTGGCAAAATTTGTGACGTTTCTTCCAGAAGTTGCTAGAGCACCGCAAATGGAATGAGGATCAAACTGGGCCTGTGAGTTTTGCACTCAGTTCATATTGAATCCAGGTCTATTCATGTACTCAGCCCTTCACACAATTCCTTGTAGATTATCACAGTGCCTGGAGTCAGACAGTCAGGTCGTGTATCCGCAGCAGTGACCAGAGGAGGAATGACTGCTGGGAGGACTGCAGAGAGAAGAAATGCCATAGTGCACCTGTAGCAGCAAAACCAGACGCCTCCATCTGCCCCACCTGCAATAACATATGCTTCTTCTGTATCGGTCTCTACAGCCACAGCTGGTGCTGTAACGCTCCAATGGTTTGACTTTACACCCAAAGGTGCACTCTTCCATTGTCTCCTGAGAGAGATGCCAGTAACAATGTACAGTTCAAATTATGAGAGCGGAAGGAGTGGAGCCATGCTTGCTGCCCTCTTGTTTCCATCACATCGCTCCACTCCTTATTGGAGAAGATCTGAAGAGGGGAGCCTGCTCCATGAAAATAGGGTCCTTCCACCACTTAGACATCTGACTGCACAAGTTTCTACATTACATGGGGAGCCTAAATTCACAGAGCAAGCTCCCCACTTTATCTTTTCTTCCCACATAGGAAGTGCAGAAGAGCTGGGTAACAGGAATGGGCCTGTCAAACATGGCCAACTCTATGGTGTCAGTATCAGAACTGGAATTGAGCTTTGGTTTTTGTTTTAAATTTGAAGTAATTTCATTGATAAAGTGGGAAAGATACATATTTAGCAAATATTCTGACACTGCAAATGGAAATAGAGGTCAGTCAAGAGGAGTCGGCTTACTGATCTCATACAATTCTTATGTCATCCATCTTCACAGGAGTTCCTGTGAACTAGCTAAGGGGGCTAAACATATTTCAGCTTTGAGGAGCACACCCAGCAAGCTTTATGACTGAGCAGAGATTTGAAGCTGTGCCTCTTCCACCATCACTCTTAACACTCCATATATATTTCCTACTAGCCCCCAAAGATGTAGGATGGAGAAGCACTGCTCAGAGAGTCCAGCTGTTTGCAGGCCAAGGGGCTGGAAAGGGTTGCCAATAGTCAGAGGGATGGAATCATTCACATTCATCTCCTACATCTTTTGACGATGCACAGAAGGTTGGTTTACAAACAAGAGTCACTTGCACTCCAAGCCTGAGTGAGTGCATTTTTCCATATGCATGTGACTCCTATACTCTTCAGCATAAACAAAATATTTTGATGCCAAGAACATGCGCCAAGAACACTGAGACCCTTATTGGGGTCTTCCAGATTCCAGCCTTGCCTGGATCTCCACATTTGACCAATGATTCCTTTTGTCAGATCGTTGGCATCAAATCACTCTTGTGCATTACACTTTTGCCCTCCCAATGACAAACTGTTCTTCTCCCTCCCTTTCAAGGAATGACACTGGAAAATAAATAAATAAAATCTGCTTTGATAAATCAGAACTGTCTACTTACCATTCTGAGCACAGCTGCAGCAGCTGGGAGCATCTGGCACAGGACATATGGAATTTAATTTCCTGATATTTACATAGATTGAAACAATTCTGAGTCCAAGCCTTCTGCACCAGACCTCCAGGCAAAGGCTTTGTGTTCGATTCATTTTTCCTCTCTTTCTCTTCTTTCCGCCAACGGGCTGGGGATAAGAGTTGAAAGTCTGTGCGGGCTTTAGGATGTTGAAAGGCTCGGAAGACCTTGATCTACAAGACTTACTGTGTAAATGCTACTTTTTTGCTTCTGGGGAATCCAGGGGAAAAAAATGCTCATAAGAGCCCTCGCCATTTAAAATATATCCCTCTTTGCTGACCTTGAGTAGGCTTGAAGCAGATCAGCAGCGGGGAAAATAGGGGCCATGTGGGCTTAGGAAGAGAGAAAAGAAATTTGGTCACACAGAGGAGAATGAAGGAGCATGATCAACACAAGCTTTGAGTTGGGAGGGGGGTCAATGGGCTCACCTCATTCTTTGCATTGATACTTCCCCTTTGGGATCAACTAGAGATGAGAAGGAAATTAGTGCAAAACTCCCTAATTCATACTTCCTGAAACAATACATGGACTGAAACACCTATCCTTCAAAATTCACACTTCTCTGAATTTTGTGGTGCAGTATGCCAAACATATAATATTTCCATATATATATATATATATATATATATATGGGGAGAATATATTTCTGCGCTGCAGATCGGTTGGTGTGTATGCAGCCAGACTTATGTTGGGACTGTGTTTATTTATTTATTCAGTATTTTGAAAACTGATGCAAGATCATCACATTCAGAATAAATCATCATTTGAAATGAATCAGAATCACAAACAATGAGATCTATCCAATATTAGTCATACTGAGAGTAAACCCATTAGTGGAAATGAGTCACTTAAGGCCATTAATTTCAATAAGTCTACTATGAATAAAAATGGTTATAAACCAATAATAAATAATCTAGGGATGGATAGATCTCTCTTATATTTAGTCCCTCTCTGTTTTGCATGTAATCCTTCTGTCCATTCTGTCCTATCTACACATTAATCTGTGGATTTTTTAAAAAATTAAAAGTATAAAAATTCATATTTAAATAATAACACAAAAGCCACATTTAAACCCTATTTTATTCCAATGCACACATTCCTAAACATATTTTCATATTGCATCTTTAAATATGCATTTTAACACACATTTCTGCATTTTTATACCAGGAAGTATTGCAAAATCTGGAGAAGTGTTAAATCTGAAGGGTCATTATATTCCAATTCCAGTCCAGGAATTTGCTTAAAAATATTGACTAAACAAATTTCTCTTCTACTCTAATTCACTCCTATCCTTAAAATAGTCCTAAGAGACCAAAAGGGGATAAATGTTATTAGATGCACATTAATGTACATATGCAGATACAAATATAACTTCATTCCATAGCTGAATGAGACTTTGATCAATTAATATTTCCCCGCAAGAACCTCATGATACACCATACAGAGCCAGATGCAAAATGGGGGTGGGGTGGGGCTTCTGCACACGTGGAGTCAACCAAGGTGCCTCTGAGCACATGCCCAGCCCAGGAATCTGTTTTGAGGACAAGAACTGATTTCTATGGCTGTGTACATATTACTGCTGGCTCCGACTCCAGTGTGTGTGTACCCACTGCTAGTGTTTGAAACTGAGTACATGTGATGATAGTCACAGTCCCTAGGCACCCTGTGGCTTCCTGATAAATACTCCTGTTTAATGTGTTCTCCACCAAACCAGCTTCCATCCAATTTGAAAATGGAAATGGAAGCTGAAGTGCATACATGTCAGGCATCAGGTGTGCCTGCTCAGATGACAGCAGGTGTGCAGATGGTACCTTCAGTGAACTGAACAGCACAGGGGGAGTTCAAGTTGGGCATTGGGTGAAGACATATGTGCTTCCTTGTGGTCATAAGACATAAGAATGGGACTCGAAATGAAGTGACATGAAATGACCTCACTGCCTTCCAAGCTGCTAAACGTGTACACAGCTTTAGTCTTTTCACAGACACTCCTTGTCTCCTTCAACCCTACCAGACTGTCTTCATTTTCAGCAACCTAATGAATAACACATTCCTAGGCACATCTACTCAGAAGGACATCCTACTGATGTCAATGGAACTTACTCTTAGGCAAGTAGAGTTAAGATTGCAACCTAAGAAGAGGGAGCCTTTTGTTGTTGCTTTGGATGAACTGTTGAGAGTCTACTTTACATAACCTGAAGATCTACCAGTAGATTCAATTAGCCTGCCTTGCTCAGTGGTGACTGGTCCATTAAAGTGAATGGGGAATGGCACCACCAACCCTGGTCAGCCCTCAGCCAGACTCTACCTGTCTGCCTCCTTACTTAGAACCAGTCCAGAGAATAGCACTGTCAGCTTCCTCCTCCTTAGACTCAGGGTTGCCTTTGTAGAACTCTTCTGGCAGAAAGATGAGGAGAAAACAAGAATGAGTTGGCTTTTCCTGTCATTGGCTCTGGCTCCACCTACTGATTGGTCTCCCTTCCTTCTGCCCTACTGGGCACAAGCTACCATTGCTCTGCCTGGAACTATATCTTCCATACACGAGTTCATACTGCCCTTCCTTTGACCCACAGGAGAGACCCTATCAGTTCAGCAATTAACACAAGACAGGGGTGGATGATTAGAATGGAAGGTGTAGATACAATTAGAAATTCTAGGCAAATCTGGTTTCTGCACAAGTTAGAGACAATGAGCTAAAAATCCTGAGAAACAAAACCACTTCCCAAACTGTACTAGTAATCAAGACTGGGCTCTACTCTCCCCGCTCTTGCACATATCATTAAAGGATTTTTTAAAAAAATAATAATAATCAATTTAACAGAAGAAGAAATGAAGGTTTTAAGAAAGCAGACTCCAAAGCAGAGATCTCAGTCTGGCTAGCTACCTGAAGCAGCTGCAATGTGTTTTAATTGCAGGATCAATACTGGGTTCAAAGAGTGCTTAGAAGCTGCTGTGACTACGAGGTCACAAACATTATTTGAAGTATAAAGAGATATCCCACTGAAGGGAGTGGGGGAAGAAAAGCACACACAGGAATTCTGCGTTGAGGGGGACCAGTCAATAGTAGATTTGTTTTGACTGTGTTAAGAATCTCTGGGGCTGAAGAGGGCAACAGAAAATGGGGAAAGGCAGTTTCAGTTGCTGCTGCAAGGAAGCAACTCGTCTCCTGCAGGCACCACCATGAGCAATAGCTTGGATCTTGACTCTGACCAAGACAGGAAAGCAAAGAATGCCACCCACCCCCATGGGAACTCCAATAAGCGACTGGAAGTGGGAGCAAAAAGCAGTAGGGTAGGCCAAAGACATATTTATAATTCCAATATATTTCAGACCTTGCTGGACCTTTTTCTGGGAAGTAGGACAACAATTTTAAAATAGATTTTTAATTACAGAACCAAACTTCCCTTGGGCAGGAACCTTGTTCAGTGGTTAGAGCATCTGCTTTGCATGCAAAAGGTCCAGGGTTCAATCCCTGGTATCTCCAGGTAGGGCTGATAGAGAACTTGGTCTGAATTCCTGGAGAACTGCTGCTGGTCATTGCAGACAATACTGAGCAAACAGGGCCAGTGGTCTGCATAAGGCAGCTTCCCATGTTCCTATGAATGGTATATTGTATAAAACTCTCTCATTAGCCCATGTGTGTATAAGTCATAATCTACTTTAAAAGGATATTGATTAATATCACATGTTCAAAAGCGCATTTTAGGATGTAAAGCAAAGGGACCCCTGACCATTAGGTCTAGTCGCGGACGACTCTGGGGTTGCGGCACTCATCTTGCTTTAATGGCTGAGGGAGCCGGCGTACAGCTTCCGGGTCATGTGGCCAGGACGACTAAGCCGCTTCTGGCAAACCAGAGCAGCACACGGAAACGGCGTTTACCTTTCCGCCAGAGCGGTACCTATTTATCTACTTGCACTTTGACGTGCTTTCGAACTGCTAGGTTGGCAGGAGCAGGGACCGAGCAACGGGAGCTCACCCCATCGCGGGGATTCCGACCTTCTGATCGGCAAGTCCTAGGTTCTGTGGTTTAACCCATAGTGCCACCCGTGTCCCTTATTTTGGGTTGTAGAATATACATATTAAAAGGACAGTTTAAAAGGACCAGTGGGGTCCCAAATGGCCCTGACCAAGCTGGCTCAGAGAGGTGGCCAAGGTAAGGATATGGTTTTGCTGGTGATATCATTACCTTATTCCTGTGTCATTCTGTTGACAGGATTAGCAGGCGTGGGGGGGATCTTTTTCAATCCGAGGGCCACATTTCCTTATGGGTAACCTGTCAGGAGATCACATGTGAGTAGTGAACAGGGCCAATTGCAAATGTGGGTGGAGCAATTATGTTATGGTTACAGTACATTTATATGGTAGACTGCATTTCAGCTATAAAAACACCACAAGATTCCTATCTTTTCAACTGCAGAAGCAAGAAGCATCAACCCAGTTCAAGGGTTAATTTCAGCCCAGCAGAAGCACCACAGAGGTGTGTGGCCTGACTTATGCCCCAAGGGCCAAACAGAGGGCCTCATTAGGCCCCTGGGCCTGAGATCCCCCCACTCCTGGATTGCAGCAACCATGGACGCATAAGGTAAAAATGGAACTGAGCTCCATGCCTGATACAAAGTTATATTACCCTAAAAATAATGGCTTGCGCTCTCAGAGTTGATAAAACACAACCTGCAATATGCTCATTTGAATTAGGGCTGTTTCAGTAGCTGACAAAAGAAATCCAAGCCTCATAAAACGAAGCTAAGATAGAACAACCCCTTCCTGGACTACCTCATAAAAAGCGATATTATTCATTATCAGAATTTAACATTCATGATTCAACCAAAATCTAAGTAATGGGGAACCTGTTCTTCCTCCTCCTTTCATCCGGTTGCGAGCTACATTAATCCTAATTGAAATCTACTTGGCAGTAGCAACGGAGAGACAGCCTGTGCTGGTCTTCTACTTACCACTGCCAGTCCAAACCACAGACGGCAGCAATGATGGAGTGAGCAGAGGCCATTTGGTCGACATAGCTGGAGTTTTGCACTAGCAATGTGGCCCTTTGGTTGAAAATGATTCTGTCATCACTGGCCTACTGGGTGCCTGCCTGTCTTCTTCAACACATCCTGCTGACAAGCTACTTTGAAAAGCTTTTAAATACAGTTTTTTATGGGTTTTCACTACTTTATTGTAAGCAGCCTGGGTGAAAATTAGAATGGAAATTCTATACGTAATGGTGTTTGAAAGTATGGCCAAAGAGTGGCCCAGCAGTGTTTCACATAAAGAAGGACCAAAATCACTATACAATACAAGATGGTGACTGTGGCAGGGGATGAGGTGTCCTGCCACACACATTCCACTGGCCAGAGCCCACAAAATCCACTGTAAGACTGAGTGACAAAAGACCAAGTGATGTACACACGTGTGAATTGGCCCTCCTCTTCTGAGTTTGCTTTTAGCACTGGGTTGCCATATGTTTGGAATTTCCTGGACATAGCCAGTATTCTGCCCTCTTAAACAGTGTCCAGAGATTTTGCAAAGAATTGTAAAGCAGCCGTATTCAGCTGCAGGTCACCTTCTGTTGTCCTTACAGAGTGGGGCAGTGCTTCCAGCGACGCCTCTAAGCAATTGCTAGCAGCAGATGCATCTGCTTCCGACAGACCTGCCAAGGAAGTGTCTGGGAAGTGTCCCACGTGTGGTGCGTGTGTGCGTGTGTGTGTGTTGGTGAAGCTCATCTCAGTGTTCCACTGAACTTGAGGGAACGAGCCCCTCTCCTCCTTAACTGCTTAAATAGGATTAGCTGGCTTCCTCCCCGAATAAATCTGCTTGCTTCTCATCTTCAGCCATGCGCACCGTGAAAACAACCCTGATAAATGAGAGGTTTTTAAGACACTTCCTACAAGAACTATCAGCCATACATCAAAGTTAGGCACTTCCAAGAGCTCCAGTGCTCTGGCAATCTGTCTGTGGGATGCAAGATGACGCTCCGATGCCCTGAGCCGACGCTATCTGGGAGCGTTGCTGGAGCAGCAAACTCAGCCCCTCAGGAGGCCTTGGAGAGGGCGGGGGAGGAAGAAGAGGTCTGCTAATTCTGGCCTTCTCCAGAGAAACACTGATGTGACATGCTGGGCCTGGACAAGCCCCTGCAGTCAGAAGGTCAATCCATCAATCTCAAGGACTTGCGTGACCCTACCCCCATCCTATGTTTTCCCTTCCATGTAAAAGGAGGGCCTCACAGACTTTAATGGTGTCCTCACAATACCCCTGTGAGGTATCAAGTGCTGTCTCTCTCTCTTTCCCCTTCCCACTCTCCAGATGGAGAATGTTGGAAGGCAAGAGATTCTGGGCCTGGTTTCACTGAGCTGGTAAAACGCCTTCTGAGTTGTACCACTTCAGAGTGAAGGCAGGGAAATGCACACATCTCTTATGCTGGTTTACTGCAATGCACTCTCTTTTGGGCTGCCCTTGGGCCTGGTCCAGATCCTCCAGCTAGTGCATAATGCAGCAGCTAGACTGCTGATGAGGGCAGATGGCTGAGGGCATATAGCGCCTTTGGCAAAACATCTGCATTGGCAGCTTGTATGCTACCAAGCCAGGTTCAAGGCTCTTGTGTCAATATGCGATATGCACAGCCCTTAACAACTGATAGGTTAATTGTTGCCTGCTTTATTGATTTCAAGAAAGCAAAATAGAACACCTTTGAGTAGACATACGTAAGAGAATCCAGTTACAAACATGGATGATATAATACTTAGTACAGAGACAGAATAGATCGAAGCAGTGGATTGTCTCAGAAAATAAGTTACCAACTCTGTGTGATTTTCAAGTGTTAGTATAGCTCCTCCAAAGTGAGGCATGGGTACTGGGTGGGCCTGAGAATTCAGAGCCCTTATTAATACAGTAAAAATAAGATAAAAATCACACTTCTTTGAACCAATCTTTTTTTGCTTCACCTCCCACCACTTGTTTGTGTTGTGTTAGACATTCAGTCAGGGCTATATCCCAGAAATTATTGACTCATGCCTCTTTAGGTAGCATTGTACACAACTTCCATTGTTTATTTGTTTTTCCTTCTTAACTTTATTTTTCAGTTTCTTAATATAACAAAGAATACCCATATGCTGCCATTCCCGGAGGAACATTTCATGTATACACAACATAAATAATGCAGTCAAACATAGAGGGCTTATGCACACTTCCTTTGCTCTTTCCATGCATGGTCTGTACTTTAAAGCTCCATGTTTGACCATCCTTGTTTTTGCTCTGGAGCTTTCCCCACAAAAAAGCCCCTCTCTTTAAAGCTCAAACAAAGCAAACAGCAATCTGTGGGAACCCTGAACTGATGTTTGCTCCTACTGAGTGCTAAAGAGCAGGTTTTTGAATGGAAAGCTCCCGGGCGAAAAGACCATAGCTTGGACACAGAGCTTTTAAGCACAGACCTGTGGCAAAAAAGAGTGGGAGAAAAGCTAAGTATGGACAAGCCCTAAGTTTGTAAATGGTTTGGAATTGATTACATCAGTTAGGTGTATTCTGCTTAACATGATTGTCCCATAGTGAGTCATGGGTAGCTGGTGGTGAGAGGGCAACATTGTCTTTTCCGCTATACTAAATAAACATGCACCATACAGTATCAAAACTGTCTTTGGTCTTTGCATTCCATATTCTATCTGATCATACCTCTAGAGTTAAGTTGGTAGCTGTTTTCCAATATTGTATTATTATATTTCTAGCCACAGATATGAAAAAGATTAGTAGCTCTTTAAACCATAGATTATCACAGATTTAATAAAGCTAGTCTTGGACCATCCTGCCAACAGTAAAAACAGGAGAAGATCTTTATGCTAACCAGTTGGATTTAGGGGCCCGCTAGGGGCGCATTGGAAGATGGCTGACAATACCATCTCTCCGGCTCACACGAGGTAATTAAGAGGCTGATATGGGAGTATGCAGCCTCCCTTGTACCCCAAGGGAATGGGGAACACTGCCTTGCTTGCTGTTGCCATAAATTACCCCTGGATTCGAAAGAAGGGGGTGAGGGCACTAGGCACAAAGCCCTTGTGTGGGTCCGGCTCTCCCTGACGCTGGCTCTGATTGCACAGCTAGTTGCAGCAGCTTAAAATAAACAATTAGAAAAGAAGCAAATGCACATACTTCGAGTGAAGATCGGGAGTAAAGACTGCTAATTAAAGGGATCTCTGTGAAGTGGAGCGACCGGCTGGATAATAAATCAAGAAGAAGACTCATCAAAGGATTCGTATGTCGGAGCGAAACTGAAAACTGTCTTATGTGAGTACCCAATAACCCCCCCCCCCCGAGAAAGAATCGTTGCAATTACTGATCACAAGCAGGAAATTAAGAACTGTGTGGAAATAAATTACTAATCAAAGATATGGCTTGTGGGAACATCAGGAGAGGAAAGAAAGCTTTGTGACACAGTTATAAATAGAGACTTGTTACAGCAGACCTGCCCACAGGAGAACGAGGGGGAGGAGGACCATGGTTGGTTATTATATCGGAATGTGAGAGAATGTGAGTTTGACCTGGCAGGGCCCCCTGAGAAAATTGATGACAGACTGGCAGGCCTGTGGAAATCAACGGACAGACTGTGGGAATGTTTTGTACGGAGGAGTGGAAATGGTGTCTGTCTTTTTTTGATATGGCTCTTGGAGAAGCATAAAATACCCACAGGGTATAACATGTTTTGTTTTCAACCCGCTTGTGGAGACTATCAGAGATCACAAAGAAAGGAATACATGATAACAACAAGAAGATGAGGAAAATAACAAAGAGACTATCTGGACAGAACTGTGTAATTAAAGCAGCAGCAAGAGGGATGTTTGGATCCCTTTCGGAGCTCGAAGTATGGGTACCCCCAACAAAAATTTTAAAAATTGGCTGTGTAATTTGGAACTAATGTGATTTGGAATTAATGTGATTTGATTGGCCTGTTAATAAAAAAATATTTTTAAAAAAACCCAGTTGGATTAAAGTCACTTTCCAGTGACTCCTTCCTTAGCCCTCTTATCACTAGAAAGTCCCCACCATTCCCAAGCTGCCAAAATCCCTTCCTTCCACGAGCCTACAAACCCTTTCCCTGCCTCCCCACTTACCCATAAACTTCCAGGCCTCCTCTCTTCCGCTCGCTGCTGCTGCTACCAGAGCAACAGACAGCTAAGCAGAAGTGAGGAAGGTTTGAAGGCTCACCAGAGGAGGGTGGGAGAGGAAGAGGCAAAGGAGTTTCTTTTATCATCTCAAATTAAAATCCGTTTCTGAGAAGAATTTGGAAGTCACAACAGGACAGAACCCTGTGGCACTCACTTGTAGCTTTTTCCCAGGATGACTAGGAGCCATTAATGAGTACTCTTTGGGTTTGGTCTGTCAACCAAATCCACCAAACAGTTACCTCATTCGACCCACTTTTTAGTAGCTTCCTCACAAGAATATCATGGGAGACTGTCAAAAACCTTACTGAATTCAAGATACACTATGCCCACAGCACTCCTCTGATCCACCAAGTTTGTAATTCCATTAAAAAAAAAGAAATGAGATTTGTCTGGCATTACTTATTTTTGAGAAACCCATGCTGGATCTTAGTAATCACATCATCCTTTTCAAAATGCTCACAGACCAACTGTTGAATTATCTGTTCTAGGGCCTTTTCTGCTATTGATGTCAGGCTCACTGGTCAGTAGTTATTTGGTTCTTCTCTCCCCTCCCCCCCCCCCCACTTTTGCCCTCCTCCATTCTGCAGGGACCTCACCTGTTTTCCAATAATTCTCAAATATTATAGACAAAGGCTCTGAGATTACATCCACAAGCTCCTTTAGATGCAACTCATCAGGTCCTGGAGATTTGAATCCATTTGAATTTAATCTAGAAACAAATGAGCAACCAGTGGGTGCTATGTGTTCATGGCAACTGATGCCAGAAATTGCAGTTCCTAAACAACCCTCAGTGTGGTGTAGTGGCTAAGAGCAGTAGACTCGTAATCTGGGGAACCGGGTTCGTGTCTCCGCTCCTCCACATGCAGCTGCTGGGTAACCTTGGGCTAGTCACACTTCTTTGAAGTCTCTCAGCCCCACTCACCTCACAGAGTGTTTGTTGTGGGGGAGGAAGGGAAAGGAGATTGTTAGCTGCTTTGAGACTCCTTCAGGTAGTGATAAAGTGGGATATCAAATCCAAACTCTTCTCTTCTTCTTCAATGATAATTCCACATAGAGTGTATTACAGTAGCCCAGCTGGGATGTTACCAGGGCATGCCCTACTACAATGTTCATCCAGCTGGTGGGTGTTGCTTCAATTCCATCATCCCAGTGTTTTGATTTGTGCTACTGTTGGCATTTGTCTGATCTGGTGCAGCCTATGTGTTAATACCTGGAACCAGATAGGAGAATTCTACTCTAAAATCATAATATTTAAAACAACTAAAACAAAAAGCACCATAGGTTTGGCAGGATATTTTAAAATTTTATTTTCCTTTGACTTGAAGGCTACAAGTATGGGAGGAGATTGGAGAAAGAAGACCTTTCCAAGCCTGTCATCCAAGAGACGTTCTCAGCATTTAGAGTTGTCTTTCGGCATTTGGAGAAGCTGTGTGTTGCAGCCTGGCAAAGAACCAGGAAGACTTGGATTGCGAAACCCTCTCTTGCTCCTCAAACTTGCTCACAGATGACAATTCCCAAAAGGCTAGAGCATGAGATGTGGTGCCAGAGACCAATATTATGAATTTATTCAATTAGAATTTTATTTTTTTAGGGCTGAGACCAAACAGCCCCTCAAGTCTGCCACCCTGTTTTCAGTTATTGAACTCCTTCTCTGTGTCTTGATTGTTTTTTTTCTCTCTCTGTGCATGGGGAGAATAAATGGGGATGCTCATTTAGGAGCAGTGGAGAGTCTTCCTCTTTTCTCTTTCTTTTCACTTCTGCTTTTAGAGGTGGTGATGGAAGCTGAAATCACGGATACCATCCATGTTATGTTTATTTTTAGAGCTGAAATCAAATGGCCCCACAAATTTGCAAAGTGAACTCTATGCTTGTGTGTATCTTGCATATGTGTGTGTGTGTGTGTGTGTGTGTGTGTGTGAGAGAGAGAGAGAGAGAGAGAGAGAATGGATTGTGTTGCTCACTGTTTCCTAACAGTGGAGAGTCTTCCTCTTTTATCTCTTTTTCTCCCCTCTCTGCTGCTGCTTGGAGTGGTAATGGTGATAAAAGAAAATATTTCTTCACACAGCACATAGTTAAGCTTGCTCCCACAGGAGGTAGTGATGTCCACCTACCTGGATGGCATTAAAAGAGGACTAGCCAACTTCATGGAGGATAAGGCTATCAATGGGTACTAGCCATGAGGGCTCTGCTCTGCTGCCACAGTTGGAGGCTGTAATGCTTTTGAACGCCAGTTGCTAGAGACCACAGGAAAGGAGAGAGGGCTTGAATTCTGCTTGCAGGTCTTCCACAGGCATCTGGTTGGCCACTGTGAGAACAGGACGCTGGAGTAGATGGGCCATTGTCCTGATACAGCAGGCTCTTCTTATGTTCATATGGGCAATGTGTGGCCCTATCTCTCTACATACTCTCTTTTACATAATTTTATATGAGTAGCAAGGAGAGGGGATATGGGGGAAAGAAAGACTAAGTAGCAGTTGGTTCCACCCACTTTTGACTTCAGCTCCAGTCCCTGAGAGATTACTCCCAAAGGAATGTGGCCCCAGAAAAGGGGGGGGGATGTTGCTCACCTCCTCAAGGCAAAGACATTTCCAAGAATGATCTGGGGTGCTGGAACAGTGTCTGCTCTTATCGCCACATCATTCCAGTGATATTCTCTTAAGAAACCATGACATTATCTCAAAAAGGACCAGTGTTGTGGTCATTGAGGTTTCTCTCTCTTTCTCTCTATGCATTAATATGGCTGCATCTCCTAGATTCTCTCCCATCCCAACTAGATCATTAATTTTTAATGGCACATTGCTTTAAATATGTGCAGGACAATGTGTTCAGCCGATGAGTCAGAGGAGTTGTCCTTTCCCCAAGCTCGTGCCACTATATCTCACACTACTATGACACATACATCTGTAGAAGTTCCATCTTCTCTCCATCTGCCCCCCTCTTCCCATAAGTCTTATGAGTTTGAGGTGCTCCTGGACTCAGATTTGTGCCTGAAGCTTCAGACTGTAGTGAGTGGGCCAGGGATATCTTTTGCCATCTCTTGGTGAGAAAATGACTACCTCTTTCATTCAAGAACAGTCTATTGAGCATTTGCCGTGACTCTGCCTTAGATACATGGAATCAGACTTGGAGTGGGTCTTGTAAGGCCATCTAGCCCAGTGCAGGAAATCCAGAGCTAGAGCACCCCCAAGAGATGGCTTTCTATCCAGCCTCTGATTTAAGACCTCCAGTGAGGGAGAGTCCACCCCTCGAGTAACCCATTGGTTCCCATTAGCAAAATTTGATGGTACTTTGGATTCTACACATGAAAAAGCTTTTTCTTTTTTCTTTTTTTTGGTGGGGCAGGGGGAGAACTTAATGTAAGAGACAACTGGGCACAACATGAAAGTCAATGGGAGACTGGGTCTCCCAACACTTTTTTCAAAGCTGTAAAGCAGATGTGGACCTCCAGGTGGTTTTGGACTACATCTCTCCTTATGTCTTGCCTTATGGCTTGAGCATTAGTTGCAGTATAGTAGCATCCCAGGGGACAAAGATTCCTCCTACCTGTCTTAAAGCTGCCACAAGATCAGGCTGGGGCTCTGAAGGAGATGGTTTTATTTAACCACGTCCTCTGCACTATTTCACAGAACTAAACTACACATGCCCTAAAGCCACTATGCATATTATTCCTGTCTTAAAAACATAAGAAGAGCCTGGTGGATCAGGCTAATGGCCATTCTAGTCCATGAGCATCCTGTTCTCACAGTGGCCAACCAGATGCCCTAGTGGGAAGCCCACAACAGCATGCTTTCTCCCCACCTGCAACTCCCAAGTGGGTCTTTTTTGTGACCATTAGTGCCTTTGGAGAAGAGGCAGATTTCATTCAGGGAAATTGCATTGTGGAAGGGCTTCCCACTGCCACACCACCACCATCACAGTCCAATCCAATTTAGCCTCAAACCAATTCAGTCCCTGTGGCTGCTTTGAAGAAAGATGACAGAGGATCTATGATTGCATCTTCTGCATCTTGCCTCATTTGGCCCAGAAAGAAGCTGGATTCATGTGGATATGAGTTCATTTCCCCAATCACTCTATATGGGTAGGGGCAGCAGGAATTGTCAGGTTGCTCAGCCTAATGCCATTTCCAGTAATAAAAATGTGTAGATATATCTTCAGTAATGTAGCTGAGCTCAGTTTACTGGATCTCTGTCGTCTCAGAATAGCTTTATGTAAAAAGCACCTCCTCTGCAGACAGCAGACCGAATTTATAGGGCTGTATCTCATCCATGGGCTGACCATTAAAGTCCATATTGCTGTTGTCAGCCAAATGGAGAAAGGATCAAATATTGGAACCTGAAAGCCAAGTCACCATTAACCTCTATGGAAATCAGGAGGAAGAAGCCACTCCTATCCCAGGAACCTGCAGCCGCTAAAAATTCCAGCCTTCTATAGTGATCCACTGGAATATCATTCAAAAGTGGATTGTAGCCTCCTGTGTCGTTTGCTTAAGATGGATATGCGGGAATATTAATGATGATCTTTATCTACCCCCCCCCTTGCATTTTGCATGCATGCCAACTCTCTTGAAGAAATGTATTTCAAATTTCATTTCTTCTGCCTGTACATCTCAGCTAGCTGGAATAGGATGGCGTGCAATGAACATTTTCCATGGGCCTGGACAACAGCAAGTTTATTCGAAGAAAGGGGGAAATGAAGAGAACTAGGAAATATAATATGCTATCAAAACACAAGGCAGCACTGGAAGTGGGTGAAGCGGGCAGGTAGGTGGGAATTAGCTGCAACTTCT